CCAAGAGCCCGTGCAGCCTCAGTCGCCCCCACGAGCAAAGCTCCCGAGAGCTCGTACAGCCTCAGTCGCCCCCACGGACAATAAGCTCCCAGGAGCTTGTACGGCCGTCGTCGCCCCCAAGGGCAATAAGCTCCCAAGAGCTCGTACAACCATCGTCGCCCCCAAGGGCAAAGCTCCCAAGAGCCCGTGCAGCCACAGTCGCCCCCAAGGGCAATAAGCTCCCCAAGAGCTTGTACAGCCATCGTCGCCCCCACGGGCAATAAGCTCCCAAGAGCCCGTGCAGCCTCAGTCGCCCCCAAGGGCAATAAGCTCCTCAAGAGCTTGTACAGCCATCGTCGCCCCAAAGACAATTAACTCCCAAGGGCTGCAACAGCTACCTTCGCCCCCAAGGGGCAGCAAGCTCGCCCCCAAGGGCAATAAGCTCGAGAGCTAGGACAGCTACTGTCGCCTTCAAGGGCAGGAAACTCCCAAGAGCTCCCACGGCCGTCCGTCAGACCCGCGATAGTGGCGCCCGTAGCGGTCTGCCACCCTCCCCCCCCCCCCCCCCCGGTCATCCCGCGGCGCTTGCCCGGTCGCCACCGGCGCTCTGCTCCTTCAGCGCACCCTGCCGAAGCTTGTCTAAGCTCGTTCTTATCAACCAGGAAGCAGGGATAGAAGAAATAGCGTTTCTCGTCCCCCGAGCAAGTGATTGTTCAAGCTGTCCAAGCCAGTGTAACCTTCGTTCAACCATCTCCCGAAATGAACATTAGACAAAACGGAATTCCGAAGGTCCAATCCCAGATGACACCACTAATCGGTCCGCGGCGTCGCATTGCATTCGCCAACAACCAGCGACCCGCACCACTCGGTCAAACTGACCCTCGACCGCTCACGCGGCTGCTCCTCGCCCGGCAAAGGCGGTCAAGCCACGCAAAGACGCGGGCACGTCAGAGCCCGCGTGGTCCGGAACAGCGACAGCCGATAGGTATCCGTGGTGTGCCTGCGAACCGACGGCGCGCCGCTGCGCGCGCTTTAGGTCTGTAAAAACTCAATAAGACATCATCTGGGACCACCACGATCACCCCGTTCCGGAAGGGTCACTGCCCCCTCGACTCTCCCTCAAACACCATGTTCCTTTCTCCTTGGCCCTGTCCCACTGCCCGTCCCATGACTCCAGCGGACAGTCACCCATGCCCCAGCTGTGAGCCATGCGGCCGGGCGCCGCCATACGACACCGTGACCGATAAGGCCGGGCTGTTTACTTTATTGGGTCTCCGCTGCCCGGTCCGCCGCGCCGCGGCGCCGGCGGGCCCGTGGACCGCGCGGACAAAGGGAGGGCCATTCCCGTTTTTGAGCGGCATTTCACTCGATGCTGCTACCACGCTGCTATCGCATTTTGCGAGCTGAAGTCACACATGTGACGACATTTTGGCAGGGTTGGAGATACGGATGTACGGATGTCATGGAAACCCAATTAGCACGTGTGATAGCGCACGCTGGCAGCGGCCGTAAACAGGGCCCTGGCCCGGCGCCTAGATCTGGCTGCGTGCGGCGTGCTTCGATGACGTCACCCACCCGGCTCCGCTCGCTCAGCCGGAGCGCGGGGTTAAGCGCCGCTGCACCGTTGCAGCGCGCAGCGATACCAGGGTGCAGGTGGTCACGGGCCAACCTGATATCAGCCCTGAAAATGTCACCCGAGGTCACCAAGTCACTGACCGCGTTCGCCCCCAAGGGTACCGCACCGCACCCACCAGCCCCCAAAGGCTTCAAAGACCAACCAGCAGGCCCCTCAGCCGCTGCCACACTCCATATGCACAGGGACGTCTGACCCCGTCCCGCTCCCCCGCCGCAGTCGGCAGTCGCGCTGGCAACCAGTCACCGAACTGTGACAACAGGAGACAAGAACAGAACAGAAGGCAAGCGCTAACCCACAGTCTGGGTCCTCACGGAGCGCTCCCACGACCACAGCTGCCGCGGTGGCGCACTTCAAGCGTCCAAAAGCTCTTGACGAAGCAACGAAAAAAAAAAAAACGTCCACGACCGTCTCTCCCAAGCCGATATTGCCAGCCTATTCGATTTGTAGCACGAGATGTCGGACAACACCATCCAGATTAGACAGCGCGTGACTCCGCAATAACGCAAGTCGCGCGAATTCTGTCTACACGCTGATTATACATCGACAGCTGACAGCCATGACCATAAGCTCCCAAGAGCTGGAAAGTGGCGCCTTCGCGGTCTGCCCACAAAAGCATCCCTGCTCTCGAGAGCGCAGGTTACTGCGCCCATCAAGCTGTCGCGGCACCCGGCCAGTTACACAACAGCGAACTCGGCCCTTCGCTTACCTGTAGTCAGTGGCATCTACTGACAAACCTCGCGTCATGAGTCGTCACAGGCGGTTGGTTCTCTGCCTCCTAGCTCCTGCGCTGCGCTGAATCGCAAGGCACCGCCCTTCTGAGTACCATGCCACCACTCCCTCTTTCGCCGTCACTATTCATAGCCTCTCTGTCACTCCGAGTGTCACACAACGAGAGAAGCCAAAAAAAATGTTGAGACCATGACCGATGGTCCGTCCCCTTCGCTGGCTCGTCTCTGACTGTCCTATATCCCGCGCTCCCCTCGTGCCTCCCGCCCCAGCCCGCCCGCTCCGCTTATCTCTCTCCCTCCCACCCTCCCTCCCTCTCCCTCGCTCTCTCCGGCATCTGTCTGCCCTCGCCCAACGCCTCTTAGCCGGGGGGCCGCTAAGTTGCCAGTTTACTCTTGGTCTTAATTGCTTGGCATTATTGCTGAAAACAGACATGTTTCCTTCATTCATGACTTTAGGGTTGATTATTTCATCCTGCGCTGTTTGCCCCGGCTCATCTGATATTCTCACCTGAGCAGTGCCCCTCCCAATTTCCACCTCCTTCCCAATTCCCTCCCACCACCCCTCCCTCCGCCGCTACCCCGTCACACGGCCGCGGGCTATCAGTAACGGATGTGACGGGCGCCACACCGTGACGGGGTTATTTTGGGTATGATACATAGGCTCCCGCAGCTGCCCTCGACGCGCGCCTCGCTCGACGGAGACACCCTCGGGAGACCGACGGCACCGGCACGACGCCGGCGACGGCGGCGGAGCGGAAGATGAGGGCGTTTTCGTCGGCTCTGCACTGTTCTTGCCGTCGGCGCGGCCTTCTCTGTTATGCAAATCAGCCTGAACTAGATGTATTACCCAAATTTATCGGCCTGGTTATCCCTAGAAATTTGCGGCCAAAATGTGCACCTGATCTGCTGATTTATTGCCGTCTTGGTGGTTTTGTCGCCGCCTGGGGAAGGCAGGGGACGCCGCCCTCTTTGTAACTTCGTAAAAATTAAAAATTGGAGGGATTGGACTTTTGCCAATAAAACTTTAAAAGCCATCAGAAACGCCGAGTATTGTTTACTCGTCAAATGAAACAACATTATTGTGCGCCAAGTGTTATTTTCTACTAATTAATGCTACTTCACAATAAAAAATAATACGTTTTATGGCACACCTGCGTCCTATAGCCCAGCTTTTAGTCGCCGTCACCGCAAGGTGTAGACTGTTTGTGTTTGTGGTTGCAGCTATACGACGCACTATCAGATAATTTGATGGCCCCGATCCCAGGCGTGGCGTGCTGGCCACCTTCGGTTGCCGTGTCCAGCAACCATTCGGCGCGTTGTTTATTTCACAATAATTGAAATTCTTGACAGCGCGGGCCAGCGTTGGTGCCCCGCGGCGATTAATGAGACCGTCCGAGCGGCAGTGAGCTGCTCCGGATCGTTCTCAGACTATTGTTTGTCACTTGGTCGGCCGTCGGCATTAAATATGCACTCCAATGACGGACATTTGGGAGCGGATGGCCCCGTTTCCGATTGCAGAGCAGCGCGCTGTTTTTGTTTGTATGCATAATGACGAATATATTCCGCCCGCATAATAGCTCTTGGCGGATTAATGGGCCGTTGACCTTTCATAATGGGTCATTCGACGGTTTCCCTGCAAAGTGCGATGCATTGATGAGCAAGAAGAAAGCAGATTACTGATGAGTTTTCACAATGTCAGTTAATGAAAAGGATGTAGGGATCGAAGTGTATTTCGATTGGAACCTCATTTCGGTGCAGTTGCATATGTATTTAGTAGAGCATATAACTTGTGGACTGTCATTCCTTAGAATGTTTTTTTTTCTCCGAGAGTCGCCAAGGCAAGTTTATAACCAATGCCCCAGAGTGCTGAGCCCGTGGCGGTTGTATGTCGTTTTGGCAGCAGATCTGGCGTGCCATCTCTCGCAGGACGCTGGGTTACCGGTAGCAGGGAGGGTGCTCCATTACCGAACACGCCAAACACTCCGCCCCCGTCCACGCGCTAGTCCACTCCTCCCGCCCCACCCACATCCGAGACTATCACCACAGGCGGAGACCATCCGGAGAACTCGATTCAACCCACGACAACCAGTCACGATGGCGCAACTTGGCATCAACTCTGAATCACTGCTGCTCTGTGTCTGTCGCTCTTATGGACCGGTCCGTTACACGGGCCATAAAGCGGGCCATTCGTTAGTTGGAGCGACCTCACGGCGGAGGTTACTCACTGACCTGTCGCCAGAGGGGTCTCTGTCCGTCTCAGCGAGGGGAGGGGGTTCTCGCAGAGGTGGCTGTCTCTACATATGTAGTGCGTTGGACGAGTAGCAGCACAGACAGAGAAGCGGCCCAGATGTGGGCACACGCCGAGGCGGCCAACTCGTCACGCAGGTGTGCGTCTGTGAGGCACTGGAAGTCACATATAGGTCACACTGAAGGATGAGAAAGAGCTAAAAGCGTCTGCTCTTACCTCATTGGTTTTGATTACCTTGATTTACTGGAAAACTTCATCTGTCCCTTCAATCTCATCGAATATATTTCATTTATCCATTATCCAACATGTCCAAGAATGTATTCCCTCCACATCAGTTTTTTTTTATTCTACCTTCCCTCAAGCCCAGCCTGGAAGTCAGCCGCCTAACCGTTTTCTCTCTCGGTTCCAGGGCGGCGCAGATGCGGCTCTCCTCCCCGCACAAGAAGCGGCGTCACCGAGACACAGAGGAGGAACCGACGACGGGCTTCAGCGCCGTGCTGCGACGGGAGCCGCCGCCGCTGCCGGCCGCCCTCCAGCGCCGCCTGGGTACGCCGCAGGAGAGCACCGGACTCGGCAAGGTAAGGAGAGGGGAGGGGAGGTTTACGTGGCAAGGTGGGCCAAAGCGTCATGGACAAAATGCTTTAGCTCAGCCGACAGTTTCAAGCATTTATAGCAGTGCACTTGTTAGAACGTTTTCTCTGAAGGTAAAAACACACTCACGTCTTCACATCCCAAGAAAGATGTCTGATGACCCGGATAGTGTACTTCATTCAAAGCACATTCAGTTTATTATTGTCACCAACAAAAATATCTGCCAAAGGAAAGATTATTGTCATACCAGCTGTGCTTAGTTGAACAATAAGATGACTGGTTGGAATTGATTGAGTGGTGGGCCAGGCGGGTGGCTTTGACATGAAGTACGAGCGTATACATGGGTAAACACCACGCCTCTCTGCTACGATTCAAAACTATTATTAGTTTTGTTTCACTTTCTGCTTAAATTCCTATTGAAGTTCTTCGAATTCTTCTCTCTTTTTTCTGGTACTTTGTACTGGCGAGTCGCTGGTGGCTCAGCTGCAAAGCGAAGAGCTGTGTTTGTCGGTATTTGTGCACTCAGCATCTGCACTGTTTACTCCAAACAGTAGGACCAAAGTTGTAAACAGAATAAAGAGAAAAGTGAGGTTTTGCGTACTGGTCCACTGGGCCGAATTGCTCAATAAACTCCGATGAAGTTTGTGACATCGAGCTGCTAGGTCACAAAAGGCCTCCCGGTCAGTAATCGCTGCTTTCTTTCATCACAACTGCAATAACGACGTCATCAAACAGAAATGAACGCCAAAATCCGGCCGCCAATGTCGTCTAATTTCGGCGGCGGTTATCAGTTGTTCGGTGATGGTCCGTTTTACGAGTCATAGCCGCCGATGAATGGTCAATATCGCCCTCGTGCTGGTCACCGCTGCAGCTGCGCTCGAGCGCCATAATAGCACTGTGGTCAGATAACACGCACTTGACAGTTTCTGCCACACTCGGGTCTCTCTCTCTCTCTCTCTCTCTCTCTCTCTCTCTCTCTCTCTCTCTCTCTCTCTCTCTCTCTCTCTCTCTCTCTCTCTCTCTCTCTCTCTCTCTCTCTCTCTCTCTCTCTCTCTCTCTCTCTCTCTCTCTCTCTCTCTCTCTTCTCCCATGAATGTCATGCTCCTATGCGTTAGCGTATTTATCTCGACTCGGTGACTGTGCCACACCTGTCTGATTTGCCTGAGGACACTCTGACAGCACACCTGGTGACACCAGGTGACACGCCCTCACCCCCTCCCCCTGTGTGCTTTGCCGGGTGTTTGCAGGGTCCCTATCAGCGCCAGATACCTGTATTGGTTGGCTCAGCACTGCGCTCATAGCGCTCATGATACTAATGCTGGTGACGTGGCGCGCCTGAGTCAATAGTGGCGCGTTACGTGCGCCCAATAAGCCGCGGTGCGCGTGACGTGATAGGGATGGGTATTCCACCCGGAAATGCGGTCTGCTGGCGGAGCACGCTCGCCGTTCGTGGCGTGTTGTTTACCGATGCGAGGTCATTACGTTTATAGACCGGCTGATTCCCTGTTGGATTGGGATGATTTCCATGTGTGGCGAGTAGGCTGGGGATTACGGGTGTTGCGGTGTCTGTAGCGGAGGTTGGGTTTCATCGCGTGACAGGAGCCCACTTGGTTTGAGTCGGTCAGCGGACCGCGGCCGATCCAAACACGGGCGTCCTTCACCGACGCAGCTGACTGGGGCGTGCGTGTTCCTCGGGCGGCGGCGGAGGGAGCAGGCTCCTCAGCCCCGTCCGAACGGAGGCAGACTCTGTGACAGGTCACGCTAGCCCTGAGGACGCCGCGCCGTGGGGTAGCCTGGAGCAGAACCAGGGCGCAGCCCACCTCCCCCCACCCACCTCCGACCCTTCCCCGCCCCGCCCGGCGTACCGCCAATGATGCCAACATGGTCCCGATACAATATCGGTAATGGGCCGCGGCTGACCGGACCCGGAACAGCGCCGCCGGCCGTGGCCTGTGCTGTTGTTGTGGTCCGCGTGGCCTTGTGCCCGGCCCTGTCCTGGGACCATACCCCTCGCGACAGGCTCCGACTGGCCGGTCGGTCGACCGGTCAATCGATGCAAGAGGGATGTGTGGGCTCTGGTATTATTCTGTCTGGGAGGTCAAATGTCGGCTTGGTTATCTTCTAACGGAAGGTTATCGGGGTGAGCATGTGTGACGCCACTAGAAGGGCCGATAAAAGCTTTCTGAAACTCGAAATGCATGCATTCGGTTTGGTTGATGGAAGCTGACAGGCTTTTGATGGTAGCCGGTCACCAGGAGTTTGTTTTTGATCGGTGTTGTGGGGCTGCAGGATTTTGTTACATGAGAACTTCGTCGATAAATGCAAACAGTTGTGCTATCGATTCCCGTTTTAAGTATAGCACTATAAAACCACTAGTTTTTACGGTGTCTGGGTCAAAACAGTTTTTTGTTTGTTAGCGTAATGCCAATGACAAAGGGGGTTGCATAAAATAGTCTAAGCTTTTGCTCAGGAAACGCGAGTTATTATGTTACGGCTATATTCGCCAAATAGGACCATTACCCCGTTCTGGATTGAACCGTCTATTTTAGCCGATTCCACTGCCTTCGCCACCGCTGCCGCCGCCACTGAGGCCGTTACACCGTCCGAGCCGCCCGGTATCGGTAACACGGATTTCCTCTCAAAGTGTTGTCGCCGGGCGACCGGCTGGACTGGAGCTACCGGCATGGCGCGTCACTGAGACAATAGCGTCGCCCCTGCCGCCGCCCCCGTCACCGCCGCCCCCGCTCCGGCAGTAATGGCGCGGAAAGCGTTATTAGATCGGTGACGGGTCCCGCGAGCGCCGCTTCCGGCGTCTTTATTCGGAGAGACGAGCAGCGGCGCGGCCACTTAGGGCGACCTGCTGACATCGGCGATCTGGTGGCCACCCTCGCGCGCCTCCCCCATCGCTCGATCCCCCTGGCTGGCACTCATCGCGGGCACTCAGATCGTGATTCCCCTCCCTTGTGATCCCCCTCCAACCATGAGTTCGACCCAACATATCTCGGGACACAATTGGAGTGTTCCACCGTCTTATCTGTCTCAAATGTTCCACGTCTGATGTGTATCAGATCCGTGCAGTACATTCATTCTTCCCTCCTGCTGGGATGTTTTTCAATATCTAGGCAATGGTCCACTACAAGAGGTTATTGCTGAATCGTTTCTGCCGAGATTGTCTGTCGGTCTGTAGGACGACGATCAGCCATGGTCATTGCCCGTTGTTTTGGCGTCATTTGTTTTCTACAATGATCCGTGCTTGTTTTCTCCCTGCAGCGACTCGAGAAAAGCTTCTTTCTTTGTATTTGATTCGTATTGATTGACAAAGGCAGAAGATCAATATTTACTCACGGTTTGACTGAAATAGTTCAGTGGGTGCATACAATACATACCCGGACGTTTTCCATTGTTGCCACTAGATGGCAGTGGCGTCAAACGCCTGGATATAGGCTGCACCGCATAACACCAGGGCGAAACTGGTGATGAGTATTGAATAGATGTGAGGTTTGCTCAACCATATTACATTGTTATTCAGCAGACAGCTTGTAGGTCTTGTTATGTCACTTCTGACTACACACAAACTAACATTGAAACGTCAAAGTAGACCTTCTTGGAAATACACCAGTTGAATCAGCCAACGTCTTCCCGGAAAGATAATCGTTTGTTTGATTTCTGCCGTACCATGCCAATATTCGTCCTCTTGATGGTTTCGAGATAAAATCCTCCCACCATGATAAATATCTAATTTTTCCTCTCATTCCACACTATTAGCACGCTGCAGGCTGTTCAATAGGCTTCAATCTGGAACCATTGTGCCCGTTCGATGATGGGGAAAATTATGTTTACATCTGCCTTTCAGAAGTAAACATTCTCAGAGAGACTGCTTCGTCATCCGCCACTGGCTCAATCGACAAAAATCCATAGGATAGTCTGGCTCGGCACGCACTGCAGTGCTGAAATTTCACTGCTGTTTCATATTTTATAAGCGAGCTTGATGAATTATTCAAATTCAGCTAAATGGGCCTGATCAGGCTCTCTTCTCTCTGAGAGTGTGCGAAATGAAGCTCATTGATCCAAGAGAAGTCAAAACACCGATTTAAACTACTCTCCTTCTCAAAGTCGGCTGACGATGTTCCGTCGTCGTCGTCGTCGTCGTCGTCGTCATCGTCTCTCTCTCTCTCTCTCTCTCTCTCTCTCTCTCTCTCTCTCTCTCTCTCTCTCTCTCTCTCTCTCTCTCTCTCTCTCTCTCTCTCTCTCTCTCTCTCTCTCTCTCTCTCTCTCTCTCTCTCTCTCTCTCTCTCTCTCTCTCTCTCTCTCTCTCTCTCTCTCTCTCTCTCTCTCTCTCTCTCTCTCTCTCTCTCTCTCTCTCTCTCTCTCTCTCTTCACTTTATCACAATTTCGTTTTACCTCAACGGCGTGTTCGATAGTTTTGTGGCATGAACGAGTCTTGCTGCTGAGCTGTATTAGAGTGCATGTAGCGCATTGGACGCATACTGAGTCTGGTTCAGCCATTTGGCCATGCCAATGTGGAGGGCGCGGATCAGTGGGCTGAGTATCCGGTCAACTGCCCGTCAGTCTAGTGTCGGTCGAATATCTCATCCGGTTTGGTGGTGACAATTGTGAAGTGCTGGTTTCCGACAGCATTTTTACGCTAGAGTGGTCCTTGGCTCTGTTTCCCAGTATTACGCGCAGCGTGCGCTCGATTTGGCAAATGTCAGCCGCTTCTGGCACGACTTGACACATTATGGAAATGTCGTTTCTTCTGACATGTGATTGCTGCATGGTACGATGAGAGTCATAACGTAGTATAGCCATCAAATTACTATAATAAAACTTGAATAAGCTTGGCGTTATGCATGCCCGTTTTATGTGACATGCTGATTACCCTAATGCATGGCGTCGCTGTTCTCTTGACATGGCGTTTGGTGATGGGCTGCCAGCTCAGAGGTCCCGGGAGGTCGGCGGCAGTCAGTCAGCGGCCTTATCACCCAGC